AGGAAAACCCCCCAAAATTTTTTTTCCCTTTTCCCCCCCCCCCCCCCCCCCCTCCCCCCCAACACCACACGTATCACCCCCGAAACAGCCGCAGAAGACGTAGCGAGAGGCGGATCGTGCGAAGATCAAGACGACGACGACGACGATGACGACGACACCACCTCGTGGCCCGAGAGCGACACGGCCTGGGGCTCCTCCTCCGACCAGTCCGACCTCGACACCGACGCCAGCGGCGTTATCCTTCACGAGGGTGACCGCGTCTGGGGTGCCGCCGGCTACTTGCCAAAGTGGGGCCCTGGCGCCGGGTTCACCTCCCCTACGCTTGACGGAAGTGTCCGGGGCTTCCATGCCGGCGGCGGCGGCGGCGGCGGCGGCCGCGGCGGGTTGAGGCGGAGTCGGGATTCTGCGGCTAGCAGCGTCGGCACGGTGGCGTCGTTGAACCCGTCGGTGTTCTCAGTTGGCAGCGGGGGGGGGCTGCGGCTGCGCAGGGATCCGGGTTGGGTGGGTGGGGGCGGGGACAGCGTGTACAGCAGCGCTTCGACGGTGTCGAGGAGAACGCGGAGACGTGGGTCTGTGTCGAACGGTGAGCGAGAGGGGGAGGGAGAGGGGGAGGGGCAAGGGGCAGAGGGACTCAGGTTGTCTTTGGCACTCGAGTGATCAGGGGTATCGTAAAGTGAATGGCGGGCATAAAGTATGCTTTGAGGGGAAGCAGTACAACGTCAGACACCAGCGATTTATCGTACCAAAGCATCGCACGCGCCTCCCCGATGGCTGTCCGTGGTCGCAGCAGGAAGGATATCAAGGGCCTGGAAAACGACAGGCGCCGCTGAGACAGAAAGTTACTGGTAGAAGTGTGCGTACGCGCGCGTGATTCTACGCACCACAGACACCTCCCTCCCCTTTTCCGAGAAAGAGGGGGCTCGTGACGTCTGTGCCGTGAATCGTCCAGCGGTAGCGGGTGTAGTCGCTTGGGGGCGGCCGACAAAAATCCGGGGCGCACCTCTTCTCAAATGAGTTAACCCTATATGTAGGACTCGCGATTCTTCGTCGTATCCGTATCCATGTCCTTCGTGCCAATCCGCTTCCCCCCATAAAATAATCGGGCGGCGAATACATACCCCCACGAAAAATATTCGATTTTGGTCGTCTGCAACGGCTCTCGGCTACAAACTGTTTAGCTTATCTGTTTCGCCTTGTTTTTTTTGGGCGGTGCAGTGCCGGAGGAGTCTACGGCTACCGGAGGCGACTCATCGGCGTCGGCGTCGAGTGCCGCGGCGGGGGACGGCGGCAGCGGTGGTGGCGGTGGCGGTGGCGGTGGCGGTGACCCGAGCATATACATGTGGAGCGCGTGCAAGAAGTGCGGCAAGCTGACGACGCCGCTGGTGCCCATGTCGGAGGATACGTGGAAGTTCTCGCTCGGAAAGTTCCTCGAGGTATGGAAAAGTTCCTGGAGGTAGCTAAAAGGAGAGTTATTATGTTATGAACGACAGATACAGAAAAGAACCCGCACTTACGACCTTAGCACTTACGAAATCGAGCCTAAAAAGAAATTGAGCACCATTCGTGAGCTCGATTAAGAACCCCTACATTATTTTCAAACCTACACATATAGCGGCCACTTAAATGAGGACCCAAGCCTCGGCCGGAACTTTAGTGCGGGCGCATTCTGTAGAACGGCACAACGCGGCGGAGTACTGTAGTGGTGTAGTGCCGGATTTCGAATGCCCCGTGAGGATACATACTACCTCCCAGATGATTTGTACCTGTCCCGTCGCTTTGTCGCATGAACAGCCTGATACCCCCTTGCGCCATGCCAGGCACATATGCCGCTAAACACATTTGGGCTGCGATGACGTCATCTGACTGACCACGTGAATGCGGCACCGCTCCCTCCTTCCCTCTTCGCCGTACACGCATGCTGGTTGGCAGTGTAAAAACACTCGTGGTACGCATAAATACCGCACATCCAAAAATTCATCTCGCCGGTGTCTCAACCGTTTTTTATTTGTTTTTGCTTTCCGCCAGTATTGAAGTCGACCGTGCCTCTGTTTGTGTCCTCCCTGCAACACCAAGGAAAAAAGATAACTCAGACGACACGGAGTAGTAAGTCGGATGACACACGCACATGCAGACCCTCCCCTCCTCTTATGCGTGGTCGATTGTCTAACGGCTAAGGCATGCAAAACCTTAAGAGTACGCTCCCCTCCCCCCCCCCCCACCCCCCCCACCCCTCTTTGAAATGTTCGGGTGAAGGTCACGTACTACAACCGATCGGCGAGGGCGAGGGGGGCCGCGGGCCTCGGCTGCGGGCACCGCCTCCTCCAGGACCACGTGCTCATGTTCGGCAGCGGCAAGCTCGTAGCGCGGTTCGACTACGGGGAGGTGCACCCCTACGACGTGTGAGTTTGCCGTTGCCAAAGGAAGGAAGGGGGTATTCCGATGCCGTTTTGTTTTCTAGGGCGTAATGCGGTGGAGCCCCGTTTGAGTGCCGCCACTATTTCGTTACCTACACAGCCAACGGTTAGGCCCTCTAGGAAAATATCGACACTTTACCCTATTTTTTTTGGTGTGGATATTCTTTTCCATCTCAGCAGCAGGTAGACGCAGGGGAAGACCAAGTCCACTAGAAAATGTTGGCACTTGAAAAGGAAGGTGCCGTGGTACCTTTGTTCGGGCTTATTGCCTCCTTGCATCGCTCACCGATATTTTCCCTCTTTTTTTTTTTTTTTCTAGAACACACCAACCGTATCGCTTCCTTTTTTTTTCCTTTCCGCGTGCGCGTTTTTTCCGATATGACGACGCGACCAACACGCTCGCGGGCTGCCTGCTGTTCTTTTTTTTTTCGCCCAGCTTCATCCGGCGGTCGCTACCGCTAGAGCCGCGCTTCCACACGCAGGCGCTCGACGCCCTCCTGAGGGGAGTGGCCATCGAGACCTCGGAGCTATTCCGGCAGTTCGACAACGGCCTCGCCAAGATCCTCGGTATCGCGGAGGAGCCTCAACTTCAAAACGTGATTTTTTTTTTAGTCCTCTTGCACTCTGTTGTTCTGCTTGCGGTTCAATTATTCACTTATGGGGTGATGACTCGTACTGTCAAGAGTCGTCGTGTCGCTACTGTATAGCCAGTGATGAGAGGTTAGTCTAATCGATTTCTAGTCTTTTCTATCAAAAGACATGCAGCAGCAAACCGGAGGTTGAGGGACGGCAGTGCTCTGCAATTTTCTGCCACGCACTTTTCCGCTAGTTTTTTTTCTTTGTTCTATTTCGTGTTGACCGCCTTGTTGTTGTCCCCCCCCTACCTTATGTTCTTCAATGTGCGTTTTTTGTTATGTTGCTTTCGGGCTGCCAGCTTGAAGGACTGGATAACGTGGTGCAGGAAGCTTCGGAGGTGCGCATGGAGCTAGCGGCCATGGGGTCAGAGCTTCTGGAGAAGATGGCGAGGTGCCCGCACGTCATGTCCCGCCTCCCGGCGGTGAGCAATTTTTTTTCACGAGGATGTGTGCATGTGTACGGTTTTTGGTTACTTGTAGCGTCGACCGCGCCAACCGGCTGACCAATGAAAACGCACCAGTCTCGGTGCGGTTGAAAACACAAGCATGCTTCTAAAGGCTGCCATGATCCGGGAGCCTGTGAGGGGGCATCATATGTGCGTGTGTTGGTTCCATTTATCCTGGCGCCAGTCTACACAGCTCTCGGGGTATACGCACTTGACCTCACGTACCACCCGGGGTCACACGAGCAGAAGGTTGCACAGGTTTTCGTGTGTGTTGATATTCGGCGAGGGAACCCCTTATTAGAGAGGAGCATGGATTGTTTCAAGGCCGATACACCAAGCCCCCTTTTTAGAGGCAGGATTGGCTCTTTGATGACCCCAGTCCATTACCCCAGATTTGGCCGAATTACCCTGAATTGGAGCAATCCCCGTGCCGAGGATGGGACCTCCAGCTAATCGATTGGTCTCCTGGATATGGGGATTGGCTACGGTTAGGTTTCGTGCGACAAACGCACCACAGCTTGCACCGATTTTAGAAGCTTGATTTCTCCACGAATAGGGTGCTGAAGGACAATGATGCGCTTTCGGAAAGCTCTTGAACCGAGACGGTTCCAACGCAGCCATTTTCGGCACCACCAACGCTTTTCTTGCTGCGGAGTAGTCGAGCTTCTAGCCTTCATCCAGCAGGGGGGTGTGGCACGTAGTCCAACCTCCGGTATTTTTGTAAGCCAGGTTCCTTTTGACCATGAACATCGAGCATTGATTTGCAGGCGGATCAGTTTTCCAACAAGAGAACAGCAGCTGCGTAGATGCCACAATAAAAAAAGTGGTGCTTGTGTCCCCCTTGACGCTGAACTCTTACAACCGTGACTGTGTGCTGTCCTACGTGGATCGTGTTTGCCTTGCAGGGATTATGTGGTCCGGAGATCCAAGCCGACTCATTTATCCAGCAGCCCTTGTCGTCCCTCCCCCCCCTCCCAAAAACACGCCTTTTCGGATGACAGGCGGCGATGGCGACCCAGGTTTTCCAGACAGCCTTGCAGGCTTTACTAGCCCCCCCTACCCGGAACGATGCCCTCGAGGAGGAGCAACAGCAACAACAGCAGCAACAACAACCACCACCTGCGGGGTTGGGACAAGCTACCGCGGCCCGGCGGCACACCGTAGCCGTCACCGAGACGCTTCGGCCTTCTTCCCCGCCCCCGACCGGCACCGTTGCGGCGGCGGCATCGTCGCCGCTCCCGGGAGGTGCCGCCGAGCCTAGCTCCAAGCCCACCCCCGCTGCTGCCGCAGAGCCGGCGAACAACCAAGGGTCGGAGCAAGCGGAGGCCGTTCTTGTTGTCGCCGAGAAGGACGCTCTTGCTTCCGCGCCGAAGGGTGATGACTACGAGAGGACGCCGGCGTCGGCGTCGGCGGCGGGCGCACAGGGGACGGCCGCTGCCGGGGGCTCTGAATCGACGGGGTCTGCCCCGAAAAGGGGTGCCGGCGATGGTGGCGGCGGCGGCGGTGGCGGCGGCAGCGGAAGCGGGATAGAGATTGGGCGCGGAGAGCAGCCGTTGCCTGAGGCTGTGCCGGCGGCAAGATCGATCCCGGCGGAGCAGCCTTCCGCCGCCGTTGCTACCGATACAGGAGCCCCGGGCGGTGGCCGTAGCAGTGAGTCCGTGGGGCCGTCGTCACTGGCCCGTTCTTCTTCTGCGGCGGCGAGCTCGGCATCGGTCCCCGATACGGCCAGCCGTGCGGTCAGCGGTGTCGGCGGCGGCGGCGGCTCTTCTTCTTCTCCTCCCTTGGGCTTTGACGACAACACGGTAGCACCCGCGGCGCCAGCGATGTTGATGTCTGTGTCGACGTCGACGTCCGTTTCTGATGCCGATGGAGCGGCCGCGCCAGCAGCAACAGCTGGCGTGACGCCGTCGCCGGCGGGCGCAGAAGCGGCGAGCGGCGGCGGCGGCGGTGCCGTAGACGAAGGGCGACAGCCGAGGAAGACCGGAGGCGAAGACGGGCACAACGGCGGCGACGCTGGGGCTACTTCGGCGGTAGCCGCGGCCTCGGTCGCTGCCGCTGCCTCCCCCGCCGCGGCTGCACCGGTAGCAGCAGCGGCTGCGGCGGCAGCGGCGGCTGCGGCGGCTGCGGCGGCAGTTGCTACCGCGCCGGCGGCGGCGGCAAGCAGCGTGACTCCGTTGTGGGGGGTAGGCAGGGGTGGGAGGGTGCCGGGCGCGAGCGATATGCTCATTTACCTGACGCAGTTCAGAAGAGGCGTGTACTGGAAGGCTACCCACTGGAACGACAGGTGGGACGAGTTTTCCAGAGGCTGCTGTTCGCGTCGTTTCTGTTGTTGGAGCTAGGCTTCTCATTTGCTTAGTTTTGAGTTTTACAGGACTCGAGGACTAAGTGTCGTGTTCAGCGGCAGAATCATCATTGTAGGCGGGGGTGCTGACGTGAACGCATGCCGTAATCTTTAGGCTAAAGACGTCGCATCCCTGCAATTCCGGGACGGGGCGATATGCCAGGTTTTCGCCGGCCCCGGCTAGGTTTCACCAGGATGAATCAGAAGCTGGCCATCACTCCGCGTAGGGTATGTGGGCGGTTCAATTAGTGAACCTGGGGTCGCTGATGTTGAGACCACTTCCTCCTTTTGCTTCCCCTATCCCCCCCCCCCTGCTTCCTTCTCCCCCCTAGGTTGGTCGCCGCTGGACAGCTCTTGACGGCTCTGAAGAAGGTGTCAGAGAGGAGGATCTCGCGATCTCGCTCCGGGCGGGGCGGCGGCAGCAACGCCCGTCACACGGAGGAGCAGCACATCCAGAAGGCCGTCCGGAACCTACAGGACGTGAGACCAGCGGCAGCGCGCTTTTCCTGCGACTGTGTACACTACATTCGACGAGAAATGTTCTCTCGGCTAGATGAGAGGAGAGAGAGAGAGAGAAGAGAGAAGAGAGAAGAGAGAAGAGAGAAGAGAGAGAGAGAGTTCTATCCGCATGCAATGCGTGGAATTAGTGGGTGGTGAGAACGCAAGTCTCGGATGTAGACCATGCCTCTACGATTCGAACCACATCTCTCTACTGCCTCATTTGGTGCCCGCCGTTCAGGTGTCGCTGCTCCCGTTGACGTCGCTTGTTCCGTACCGTTTTTGTCTTTCTCCGGTGCAGGTGAAGGAGGGTGCTCGGACTACAGAAGCGGACTTTGTCGACGAGCTCAACTTCGTGGACGTAGAACACGTGAGTTGGCGGTATTTAGTCAAGGATTTTGCCCTGGTGCAATTGTTGCCAACGGGGTGTACTTCATCTAAGTTGGTGGACGTCATGGCGCTGTCAGGGTCTACATGCCCCGAGAAACAACACATCGTAAATACCAAGTGACGTGAATGCGTGTAGACACCTGCGAAGGCTCTTGGGTACACGCTGCATTCGAGCCCTTTGTGAAGACCGCCCCCCCCCGCCCCAATTCGTCTCTTCCCCCCCCCCGCCCCCAGACGATGGATGCGATGCTCGATCACGTAGAGCTGACTTGCGAGGTCTCCTTCTCCTTGGATGGCATCATCGACAGGGTAGAAGGTGCGGGCGGATATTAACTCCTTTCAAGTCGTGCTGCAGTCTTTTATTTGTCGTCGGTTACATTGTCTCCTTGCTCTTTGCCCCCCCCGAGAGAGGCCAGAACCAACCACACGTTTGTTTGTTTTTCCTAGACTCTTCTCCTTGACTGATTGCCCCCCACCCCGCCGCAGAACACTACGAGGTGTTCTGTGCCGTGGAAAACCTCCTGGACGGCGTCGACCGCCGCGCGGAAGTGGAAGGCCTCCTCGACGACCTGGTAGGCGCCGCGGAAGACCGCATCGCCGTGGAAAAGGCCGCCGCTGCCGCCGCCGCGGAAGAGATCGCCGCCACCACGCGCCGCCCGGTGAGCGAGCTCCGCATGCTCTTCGCCAAGAACGACTCGGGGACGTCGGCGCCGCTCTCGGGCGTCGCCGCCACCGCCGGCGGTGGAAGGCCGGGCGGCAAGGCCGCCGGCAAGATTAGCCCCAAGAACTCCATGCGGCGAGCGGCGTCTGCGGCCGGCGGCTTGGTCAGCGGCAAGGGGGGGGCATCTTCTGGAACCGCTTTCGGTCGCACGGCTCGCGCGAGCCCCAGCAGCAGGAAAGCAGCGGCGGGAGCCTCAGCAGGAGAATCCGCGGCGGCGGCGGCGGGGAGAGTCTCCCCCGCCGGAAAGGTTACCGGAGCGGCGGGAAGGCCGTGGGACGGCGGGAGGTCGAAGTGGGCGAACATGCACCCGGCAGGGGACGGCAGGAGGTCCCCGCGCCGGAGCTCAGACCCTACGGGGAGCGGCAAGCTCAAGTTCGCGGGGCCCAGGGCAGGCGGCGGGGTGGACGCGACGCTTGTCGACGGGCTGTCGGAGGCGACCCGCCGGCGGCTGCGGGGGGAAGGGAGCAGCGGTCCCTTGAGCCCGAGGCTGAGCGTGGCGGTGGCTGATTCTGAGACTCTCAAGGTGCTCGTTTCGTCGACGTACCCTGATGATTGGTGTTGTGTTGTGCTTTGGGCACTGCGGCTGTGAGCCGTGCTGTTGTACATCGGGGTATGAGGAGGCAGATACTGCCTGTTGTGGCCGGCAAAGTTGTGCCACAGGGATGTGTTCTTTCCTGTGTTTCGGCACGTGCTACGTATGTACCAGCCGTGTTTCTGGTCAACACCCGTTCATGATCGTGGCAGAAAACCCCCTCCCCGATGTTTTTTTGTCGCGGACTGGACTATCGCGCCAATCCCCAACAGACACACACAAACGATGCCTCCCTCTAAAACATCCAACCTCGACGTTCTCACCTTGTACGCTCCTTCCCTCTTTTCCTTGTCATCCGGTTACTATCTGGCCGGCCGGTTGGGTGCAATGCGGGGGCGGGTCGTGACAACAACAACAAAATACGGCAGGAACGCGCTGCCGAAGAAGCCATCGCCGCCGCGGCGGCGCCGAAGAAGGCGCAGCGGGACCTCCAGAACCGGCTTGAGGTGGGAAAACAATTGTTTTGTCATGTATCCGCTAGTTTTGCAGTTTGTCGCTGCGGTATGCAAGCAAGAGTCCTACGTGGTGCCGATGTGGAGGATCCCTCGAGCAAGCAGAGAGAACGGACCAGTGTCGTCCACGCCGCGTTCGTTTTGTGTGCGGTGGAGAGGGGTGGGGTGTTGATGACGCGTGGAGGCAGGGGTGTTTTTGCGTGTCTTGTGGTTCGTCGGTCGAGTTGGTACGACTTTGGCACTATCATTTGCTTGTTTATCTATCAACGAGCGCAAGATGTAGTTGAGGCGGTGCACGTTTTGGTTTCAGGTTCTGCCTTCCGAGCCGAAATGTCGTAGAGAAGAAGTCCTGCCCAAGGCTGGGTTTGGGGACCCTGTCCAACGTTCGCGTTCATTAACCATTGCTCGTGCGGAGTTTCTTTACCTTGCACAAGGACCATGGATTTTTCTTACCTTGGGCAACACTTTCTACTCGAACCCTGCTCAACCATCTCGAAAATTCCGCACCCTGGACAACGCATGGGTTGGGGGACCCCGTCCAACGTCCGGCAGCGGTCCCGAAGCGCCAGCTCCTCTCCACGACACCGACAAAGCAGCAGTGCTAGCGGCGGCGGCGGCGACAGCGGTAGCGTCAATCCCACTTCGGTTTCACCTCGTGCCACCGCCATGGGCGGCGGCGTCGCAACGCTTACGCCGGGATCGCGAGGCAGCAGCCGACCTTCGCGCCCGCCCCCGCTCACCGAGCGGTGGGGTATAGCTTCCGGCGGGGGCCGCTCCCGGTCCCGCAGCGGAAGCCCGCGCGCCGCCAGCCCTCCGTCGACCGACGGCGGGGGAACCAGCCGGAGCCCGAGTCCGGTGCGAGCAGGGGGCATCCCCCGGCCCCGCGGCCGCGGCGGCAGCGCGGGCGACACCACCGCGCCCCGCCTGGTGCTGTCTCCTCGGGTGCGCTTCCCCTCGACGGAGCGGCGCGTGGGTCTCCCGCCCGGGCAGCCACCGCTGTCGTCGTCCACAGAAGAAGCTGCTGCTACCACTGCCTTAGGCGGCGGCGGTGCCCTCAGCGGGGCTACGCTCTCGGGGAAGGCCATCGAGGAGGCGACGATGGCGTTCGTGCTGAAGGAAGGGGAGAATTGGAAGAGCGGTGGCGGCGGCAGTAACGCGGCCGAAGGCGATGGTGCTTCTCCCGCCGCTACCGCTGCAGCGGTGGTCACGGGCGTCGGAGGAGGAGGAGGAGGGCGTGTGCCGCCGCCCGGGGGCCCCGCGGATGGCAAGGAAGCGGGGGGAGGGGTCGCGACCAGCCGGCGGTCGTCGCGCGCCAACAGCTTCGACTCCGTGGGTGATGTTGTGGTGGTTGGTGGGCTGGCGCTTGGGAATCACCGTGGGTTCCCGGGGGAGGATTGGAGCCAGTCGCAGCCGGGCACGCCGCCTGTTTTGTTGCAGGTCTGTGGGATGGGCTAGTTCCACTCGTAGCACGTACGCCCCTCCCCCTCCGTCTTTGATTGCCTGTTTCCCTACACTCACGTTCAGTCCATCCTTAAGAGAGAACCACGCTGAGGCTTGAGCTGCAGAGGCTGACTTGGTTCCCTAGCAGCGGTCGCGCAACAGCTTGTTTACCCCTGTCACTACCGGGCAGTCGTGTTTAAACGTGCTACTTTCGGGCTGTCCTCTAGGGAAGCCCCTGGTGGTTTGCCACTGCAAGCCGTTTATTTACTCAATATCATCGGCTTTTTACCCCCATCGTGCCGCCGCAGACGCCCGGGCGAGGATCGTTCGACGACGGTAAGGGTTTAGTCCCCGGCAACCTAGCTGCGGCCGCGGCCGTCGTTGCGGCAGCCGGGGGCGGAGGAGGGGACGCAAAGGCCGGGAGCATCGCGGCCCCGCGAATGGGCGGGCGTAAGGGATCGTTCGACAAGAGTTCTCCAACTCGCGCCGCTGTTGGGCGCAAGACGCTGCCCCCGACTGCGGCCACCGGCAGCGGCGGCGGCGGAGGAGGCGGGGGCGGTAGTGGCCAGGCCAAGAGCACCAAGGCCAAGAAGTCATCGTGAGTTTTGACCCGGCGAGGGCTCTGGTTGCTGGATAAAGTGTTAATATTGTATCGTGCGTGTTTTGAGGCTTGCTTGGCTGTTCCTTGGAGGTTGCTTTGGCGAGGAGGTTACAGGTGGGTTGAAACTGCTGTTGTAGTGCCCGCGAGTGGTCCTACCCGTACTCAACCATCCCCCCTGCGCGTTCCCAACCTGTGGTCACCAGAACGACGTTCCCCTCGAAGATGAACATCCAGAATGCCCTGGCGAGGTTCCTCGGGGGAGGTGGCAACTGGGGTGGGGACCGGCAGGACTGGATGGTGCCGCTCGGTCCGTTCGCCGAGGGGCGTCCCCGCCTTCCCCCCGGCCGGCGGGGGGAGTTCATCCCTGTCTTCGACGACCAGCCGACCACCATCATCGCCTACAGGTGAGGCGAGAGTTTTGTTTGTTTCGAGTCTCGGGTTGTGGGGGGCGCGGGGTTGGGGTGTGGAGTGGCACTAGTGCCGCCCTGTGTTGTTGTTGTTGTTGTTGTTGTTGTTCTCTGGCGCTGCGCCTGGCTCGTGGTCTCCAGGGAACCTGTCGGCTTAGAGTAGGTTTATCGGTGTCTGTTATATTCTCCTCTCGAGGGGGTTGAGATGCGCGCGTATTCCGTTGTTGGATGGGAAGATCGTGACACTTCATATGAAGGTAGGGGCGGGCACCGCTGTTGGTTTTCCCAGTATTGGCGCTGCGGCGACCGATGCCCTAGCGAGGGAGGCACCACGGGTGCCTGGTGTTTTTTTCTACGATAGGGCCGCGCTTCCCCTAAGGGCCGCTTGGTACGTACGGTTGATTGTACGCTTACCACGTGGGGGTGTATTTTAGCTATCTGCCATCTGTTGGCGTGCCTGCATCGCTGGAAGGGGGCTTCGGCGCTTGGCTCCTGCAGAGTTTCTTTTGGACCGGCTATCAAACGCCCCTGGCTGCGCCGTCCCTTTCACAGGCTCGTTGTGTTGGGTGCAGAATATTGAGGCTCGTTAACCGAATCAGAGCTAAGGCCAATATACCGTCGTCTTGAGACTTCGGAATGAACTTAATTGCGCCGAAGACTAAGCGTGCCAATATGTAGTTGCCTAGCACACCAGCAGCAGTATGTACGATATGACCCACCGCGGTTGAGGGTCTCCGCAGACTAATACATTGAAAATATGGGATACACCAGCACGGGGCCGCTTGGCTGCTGCGTACCAACAGGAGCGTCTCTATCTACTCGCTAATCTTTGTGACACCTCACGTTCCTGTTATCTACAATGCCGAACCGTTTCCCCCCCCTCCACCGCAACACGCTGTTGTAGCCTGAGCTCGCAAGAGTACCACGATACTCTGGACGCGTTCTACCGCCACAGGGGGGCGACGGGCATGCCTAGCGCCAGCGGCCCTTCCGCCGCGGACACCCAAGAGGACCGCTCGATTAGCTCTCCAGGCGACGCTGCGGCGTCTACAACACCAGCAGCAGCAACAACAACGTCGTCAGCCCCCGCCGTCGGCAGCAACGCCGCGTTGGCCGCGGCCGTCTCCGGGGCTAGCGCGGGCGCCGGCGGCGGTGGCGGCGGCGGAAAGGGGTTGTCCTCGTTGCCCGGTAGCCCGCTGTCGCGGGCCCTTAGCATCGACGGCAGCCGTCATGGGGTTAGCAGCAACAACAACCTTCCGGCGCTCTCCATCGCTGGAGACTCCGGAGAAGACCCTGTCGCTCGCAGTGGCGGGCTAGGGGGAAGCGCAAGCAGCGCCCGCGGCACCACCGTTGTTACGGGCGGAGCCGGCGGAGTCGGCGGCAACGCGGCGGGGAGCGGGACACCCGCCGCCACCGCCGGTAGCAAGGCTGTCGAGGAGACCTGGTGGGTGATGCACGAGGTCACCACGCCGTCTACCAGCGTCCAGCCTGGTCTGCCCTCCGCAGCAGCGGCCGGCGCTTCGGCCGGGGTCAAGGGCGCGGCTGCTGCTTCGAGCACAGGCGGGAGGGGCGGCGGGGACGCACCGCCGCCGCCCGGCGGCGGCGGAGGCGGAGGCGGCGGAGGCGGGGACCCTTCTCCACGTAGGTCTCACCGCAAGAAGCTGTCTTCCGATGTCGTCGAGGCGGATCTGGCGGCGGCGGTGGACGGGGGAGCCGAGGACGGGGTTTCCCCTCCGCCGCCTGGAGGAGGCGTGAACCACGGCAAGGGCCTGGGGAAGCGGCCGCTCTACGAGAGTTTCGACGTGTCCAAGCTGGAGGCCCAGATGCGTTCATCAGCCAAGGTGGGGTGGAGAACTACTGAATTTTGATTTTCCTGTTGGAAGTGTTGTATCTTCTAGGAAGTACAAGTGTTATTTTGGAGTGTCCCCCGGTTGCCCACTGCGCGATCGTGAGCGTGTACGGGTTCCGGTTGCAAGAGCAGCCCTCAAAAGACAGAGCGTGCTTGTGTCTGCAGTGCCGCTTCGCAGTAGTGATAGCGAACACTTGTCTGTTGCAGCACGGCCAATCCGATTGTGACTCCTGCTGTTTAGTGCCCCCATTTGGTCGAAGCATGTGTTTTGGATGCTAGAAGGGGGCGAGGATAGGTACACCACGGCCTCCTTGGACTCTTACAACGTCTGTCTGTCTGTCTGTCTGTCTGTCTGTCTGTCTGTCTGTCTGTCTGCCTGTCGCCATTGCTGTGTGGCCGCAGTCGCACGTGAAGCATCGCTTTTCGGACACGGATGCGAAGAGCAACCCCACCTGCAAGTTCTTGTGCCACAGCTTCTGGGCAACGCAGTTCAGGGTGAGCTGCTTGCTGATTTTGACGACAGACGAGGGAGGGAGGGAGGGAGGGAGGGAGGGAGGGAGGTTAAATACCGGCAGAAATATCGCACACACGACTGTTTCGTTTAAGTGGATCATGGTTGTCGTTTTGGGCCTTTCTGCCTCTCGAGCTGGGGACGAAGCTCCCTGATGCAGCATGCTCCGCTCTCTTTTGCACGCCCTGTCTTTCACTGAGGTTTTTGTTGACAGTCGGAACCACACAGCGCCTCGTTCCGTCTTGTCTCCGGAATGGAATGATTTCGTTGGTCCGACGCCCTCCTTGTCCCTTCAAGTGCAACATTGGTGTCCGTTGCGTGCGTGCTAGCGGGTGGGTTTTCCCACGGAGTGATGCCGGTTTACGGCGTCGTTTGCCGTTGCTGATGTTATCTCTCAAACTCTTCAAATACCGCAGTAATGGCACAACAACATCATTCGCTCGGTCCCCACATGCAAAGGCCGAACTGCCCAAGCCTGTTCGCGTGCCGTATCCGACTTTGTCCGGGCGTGTCTTTGGCGTTGCAGGCTGTCCGGCGTTGCTACTTCGCGGAGCAGAGAGGGGCTGGAGGCCCAGCATCCCCTGACCTAGACGGCGAGGAGGTGTTCGACGAGCTGGAGCAGGGGTAAGCTGCATCTCCGCCCGACGACGGAGCCTGCTGCACCCTCCGTTCTACCAGTTTTTCTCTCCCGTTGTTTTGAGTTCGAGGCTCTGTATGTTTGATACGTCCCGCAGTCCGCTGCGTGGATGAAAATCCAGAGGTGGACGCTCCGAAGTCGGAACGGAACGGTTAGTTTTGTTTTTGCTGGGACGCGCGCCGTATGACTTCTTCTGATGCATCAAAGTGGCAGGGCTGTTTCCTGAGCGCAGTTTCTTTCCATCGTTTTCTGCGTGGTCAACTTCACCGTGCGCCCGTCGTTGAATGGAACGATCCAATCTTTTTTGTCCCGTCCCGCGTGACGACCCACCCGCACGACGTGTTCCGCGCGCGCGGCAGCTACATCCGAAGCCTGTGCATGACCACAAAGTGGGACGCTAAGGGAGGCAAGAGCGGCGCGACCTTCAGCAAGACCGCGGACGAGCGGTTCGTGGTAAAGTACATAACCAAGACGGAGCTGCAGATGTTCCTGGACTGTGCCCTGCAGTGAGTTTTTAGTAGCGGACCACCGCCTTTTCCTAAATGCTTGGTGAGGTCTGGTAGGCGTCATTGACTAGGCCGGGGTCATGGGCGACCAGCTTGGTAGTTATTTCTGATTTCGCATTGGTCTGCGGTGGCTGGCGTTCAATAGGGGTAAGAATAGCAACAATCGTTATTTTTTTTTTTCGTGTATTCCGCTGAGGCTCGTGTGTAGTTTGCATCGCGTATGTAGGCAGTGGGAAGTTGTGGCCTTGTCTGCTGCTGTTGTTGGCAGTAAGACATCGTTGCAACAGGTGCTGTTTGTTTTTTCCAGCCGCTGCCGACCTGTGCTGAGAAGCGCATGTGTCACGCACTGGTTTTGCTGAATGTTAGGCTGCTTTTACCGCAGCCTTGGTCTTCTTAACTGTCTCACCCTGTGTAGTTGCTTCAAGTGATTCTACCCTTGTGTATTGTAGTTTGGGCCGTTGTAAGCTGCCGTCTTGTTGGCTGATAGGGGTGATATCTGCCGTCCTTCAACCGCTTTCCTCTTTCTCCATCGCGTTTGCACCTTCATCATCGATCTATCTTTTTTTGTTCGCCTTCCTCTTTCTTGGCCCATTTTTGCCGTTGCTTCGATCGTTTCCAGCCGCGAACGTTGGACGTAGAACAGGTCGTTCGTATTCTCGCGGCCGTAATCTTGTTCACCAAAAAATACGCTTTGTATCACCAGGATTTTTATTGTATGACTTCCTCCCTCTTGCTTTGTGCCGGCAGCTACTTCGAGTACATGTCCAAGGCCTTCTTCCACAAGCTCCCCACAGTCCTGTGCAAGATCGTAGGCGTGTATCAGATCGGCTACCACAACAAGGTCACCGGCAAACGCCAGATGGATCAGGTGGGTTGACTCAAGAGACTTGACGGGAAACCCCGAAAGGAGATTTCTGTTCCTAGCCTTTTCATCACAAAGGTAGAGGGAGGTCCGCGGAGCGTGTGCCATGAGATTCGGGCACTGAAGGAAGCAGAAGCATCAACGTGTTGTTCTCAAACAGGGTTTCACCGACTGCGTTCAGGCCAACTGTTTTATGCCCCCTGTAGGGAATTGGTATTTGACGAGGTTCCCAGGTTGTGGTTGTCGCTGCAACCGTTTCCTCGCACTCAGCCCCGATGACAGTTCTACTTGCTGTTCTGATTTGTGGCTTGTATTTGTTCCTGGCCTGTCACTCTGTTCATTCCCATAGACTCGAATCTGGATGTACCCCCCCATCCCGCACTGTATTCACTCATTTTTTGTAGTTCACTCAATCTTTTGTTTTGCTAGAACTCCCATGCCCTGCAAGGCACGACATGAACGATGAAGGTCCCTAGCACGTGCACTTCCGAAGATCGCATGCACTGGAATTGAGACATGGCGGATCATGTAGTTTCGCTTGAAACTTGTGAAATTTGATGCAGTGGAAAACGCGCGCAGCACGCCATCATTCGATTTCAAGTTTTTTTTTCTTCACATTATGACAGCTGTGTATGACCGTGATTCGTTTTCAGTCCTGCAGGTTTTGGCCGTCATGAATGGAACGCGCCTTTGAAGATTAATTCATGATTTTTTGGATTTTTTATTCGTACAATGCGGACGTCACTCGTTTCTCATTTCAAATTGTGAAGACCCCCATGCGCTGAAATGCAGGCGTTTCACTTCACTCGTTTTCCAGCTCGTGTTCTCTCGTGAATTGTGAACAGCAATCTACCTGAAGTGTATGTGTGGCATGGATCATTTCGCCGATGGATTGCGTCCAACCCATCCCTCGACAGTTTCTTTTCGAATGACAAGTAATTTATTTTGACTCGTGCATTGTGTGTACCATTACAAGAGGAGTACGTTACGACGATTTGCCGCCTAATGGAATAGATGCATTTACTCCTTTGAGAATTATTCACAGCAGTGACACTCCGTGTCCCAAGAGGCGTTAATATACGCGTGGTACATTCCTCATTCGATATCGCTTGTATAGTGTGACGCCAGGGACTTGAAAATGCGAGTTTAATAGTGACGAGTACATGCCAGTTCCAGATTCGAACAACATACACGAAACGAGGCCTCCTATGCTCTGTTGTAAGGACGTCTATGAACAAGCTCAGTGTCTGCACGGTAGGAGCCAATGTTGCTCGTGCGCCCACCGTTTGCTTGCTCAAATGTTGCTTCGCGGTGGATCTTTCTCATGTCGAAATGACGAGCCTCTTTGTCCAGGATACCACGCGTTGTCGTTGTTGCAGCGCCAGTTTGCCAGGGCGTGGACCGTTTCCGCCAGGTCTAGTACATGAGACCCGAACTGATATTCCAAACGCTGATATTCCAAACGCCGCCCACAGCACCTACAGCCCAAGCACAACCAAAATATCATCATTCCTCCGACAACCCCGCCCGTCCCATGACAGGTGGTTGTGATGCAGAACATCTTTTACCAGCGCAACATCAGCCTGGTGTTCGACCTCAAGGGCTCTACCCGCAGCCGTTACGTACGTCCCGATGCCCCCGATGCTAGCACGAGGTACGACGTTCCCTTTGCAAACGCAGGTGTTGAGACGAAGGCATCACAATTGCTAGAGGGTTCTAGAGAACCGAATCCACGCGTACCGCGGGCCTGGGCCAGCGATTCAAGCGCCGCGACGTGCGGCGTTTGCGCCTCCCACACACAGCCCGAAGCGACGCTTCGGTTGCCCCCCCCCCACAATGTGGCTAGGAAGAAAGGGATGCATACACCGGGCGGATCGAGAGCGTGCTGTAGTAATCGTAGGGATATTGCAGTTGGGCCCGGTTGGGTGTATGTTGTAGCGGTTTGGCGCAGAACGGTATGAACCGCTGGCCTCGAACAATACCGCACCACACCAGGTGATGTGTGTGAGGGCAGCAGCTTCGGACATAACCTTCCGCTGGAGGGCGAACGCGCAGTACATGAGGCAAAATTTTGATCGGGTGGTGTCACAGAGAAACCAAACGACTGACACGCTCAACGGACCTGTTTTATGTGTGAGTTTCGGCGGGATAGCCCACCGTAACCCCCCCTTGTTCTCCTCTGGCACGCGTGCGGTGTGGGTTCTGTGCTCAATTTTCGTAGCGCGTCACGCAGCACTTCCACAGCGTCGGCCACCGCCCCGGCAGCAGCTGCGGCAATTGCCAACGCCGCGGCTGCCGCAGCCGCCACCGCTACCGGAGACGCCATCGCCGAAGCGGCTGGCGGTGCTGTCGCTGCCGCTGCCGCTGCTGCTGCTGCGGCAGGGAAACAGGCGGCTGCTTCAAAGCCGACCATCGCTGCCTCTGCTCCTCCTGGCGACGGCGGTGGCGGTGCAGGGGGCGGATCAGGAGCGCCGGCAGCCGGGGAGGATAACGCGGATGGAGAGGCGGGCGAGGGTGGTTCCTCGGCGTCGGCTGCGGCACCGGCGGGCGCCGCGGCCAAGCGCGTCCAGGTATGTGTGTCGTTGCCGTTCATCCAGAGCCTTCGAAGAGTCGTCGAGTTGCGATTTCTCTCTTGTGAAGTACGTGTCCTTGATGCGAAGACGTGCCTGACTGTTTGGCGGAATGATTTTCACCCTCAAAGTGTGTTCGGCTACGCTTCCCAAGCCCGGAGCTTGGAGATAGGTGCGCACGGTGCGTGCATCGTGTAGATGGCGCATGCTTGAGTCGATCACCGCATCGATAAAATCGTCCCACTTGGGCACACGTCCATCCAGACCAACAGGTATTTACATCAACGAGGAGCGGCGTGATTGTTTGCCGGGAACATTCACATCCCAAATTCGGTCCCCGTGTACCCCTTTTTTTTTGTTGTCCCTATCGCCATTGTAGGTGTTGCTCGACGAGAACTTCATGGAGTACACCGAGGGACAGCCGCTGCCCATGCAAGACCTCGGGAAGGTGACTTCACCCGTATTAGGCATTTTGCCTTCGGGATCACATGTTCCAGAACCGGCCAGATCTCACGAACCGGGCTGTTTGCTGTGAACGGATGGATCGGAAGGAAGAACCTTCAGTCCGGACAATCAGCTTAGAAACGCGTACGCGCCGGGGTTGTTTATCTCGACGGTGTTCTTGTTTAATCTTTTTCATGATCATGGAAAGAGGCGAGGAGTTTGCTCGTGCGCACCGACCCTCCAGTTGTTTAGCCACCAAGCAACGTGGGCCCCAAGGTATTTCCGTGACTCCCTCATCTACTTGTTTCGCGTGCGCCTGTCGCGCAATAACGGGCACCAACCAGTGCAGTCCCCCCCCACACGTCGCACGCGCACGGATGGGCACAGGGGTCGACATTGCCATCGTTTTTGGACGATGCACGTATAGTATCGGCGTTTTAGGTGTCTTTTCTTGACTGAACAAGGTGTTCACTCAGGGAATGCTTCCTGTGTTCACAACCTGGCTCTGATTTTTTCTCCATTTGATCGCGGGAACCCGTGCCGGTGATGCGTTCTGACGGTTGTCTTGCTGGCTCGTTTTCCCCGGTCCAGGCGGTCTTCCATACCGCCATCCTCAACGACACGCTGTTCCTCAACATCGTCAACATCGTCGACTACAGCATAGTTGTCGGGCTAGACGAGGAACGCCGTGAGCTGGTGAGCTTCGATCCTCGTTGGGACGGTAGGAACAGGAGTGACTTTGCCGGCCTCACAGCCGGGAACCTTACAGAACGACTGTTTGATATGTTTGCAATGATCGCAAGTGTCGAACCTGATAACAGTAAACAACGGACAGTTGACGCTCTGTGCTATAGTTGACAAGTCCCCGCACACGGCCGTGAGAGTCACCGTTTTGTCTCCCGGATTTCCCCGTGTATGTACTTGTTTGGCCATCTGTCGAGGTATTTGCGATGACCCAAGGACTTGGCCACCATCCGCAGACGTTCGCGGCTTGGCGATCGCAGGTCTTACATGGTCTTGTTGGAGGGTTGCGAATGCATTGCCGTCGTTTCGACGCCGTTTTACCCTTGAGCGCAGGGGGTGGTGCTGCCTCTCAAGTAGACACACGTATAAGGGTATGGCGGCAACATGGACAACGTCTGGTGTATTTTGTGAAGACGGCTAAGCAAGACCTATGCCCTGCAAGCGCACGGTGCTCGAAAGCGTGCCTCCCAACTCGCATCTCAAGGGTTTCTTTTTCTGTTGCTGTTGCTCTTTTGTCCGTCGCGTTCTGTAATTTCTGCTGCGATTTTCTTATTTTGCGATTACTTTTGTCAGGTGGTGGGCATCATCGACTACATGAGGCAGTACGACATCATCAAGCGCATGGAAAGGATGGGCAAGAGCGTGAGCATGATCGCCGGCCAGGCAGAGCCCACCATCGTGCAGCCTTCCCTGTACAAGACACGCTTCCAGCAGGTGAGCGAAATCTTGGTATGACGAGCTGACTTCGATTCTCTTGACGGCTGAGTCGGGACGCACAGAATGTGTGCTGAACACATAGACCTCTCTCTCTCTCTCTCTCTCTGCCTTTTTCTGTTTCCCTATTTCGTTCTCTCTGCCCCCCTCTTTCTTGCAGCCTCCCGCCTCTCTCTTCCTCTCCGTCTGCCCCCCCCCCCTATTTCTATCAACCCGCCTCCCGCACGCGCACTCTCGGAAATACCACAATGCGAAAGTTTTTTTTTTTTGCGTGATGATGATGAAGATAGGAAATCGCCAGGAGAAAATTGTTGGCGCTTTGCCTCTAGCGGGGCCTGCAAGTCAACCCGACAGCTAAAGATGCCCGCGTCGGACAAACCACTGCTACAACACACGCGCCGGTGCTTTTCGCTCTGGGTGTCTGGGGTTGTTTGGTGTACCCACCTTTTACCTACATGCAGTTTGGCCTTGAGCGTTCAGGGGGGCGTACTTATCGGGAATCATTACTGTGTTCAGCTCGCTTTTCCATTAGATAACGAAGCTGTTTCGTTGGTGTATTTTCGTCCCCCTTTTCGTGGTGAGACGTGTACTTCACCTTTCTGTGAATGTAGAGTTTTTCACTTTTTAGTGTATTTTTTTTCGTACAACTGCAGCCATCCACGGTCACACAGAAGGGGGGGTAAACACCGAGTCCTTTATCTTCTTGTCATTTTTATGACGAGAAGGGTCCGGCCGGCCGTCCCTTTCCCTCCTCAACGGTGCTAACGTCAAGTTTTGGTACTCACGAGAACCTTTTCAGCGATAGTTCGCTTTCACCCGCAAGTATTGTAGTTTTTTCATCCCATGAGGATTCGAACTTATGACCTTTTGCGACTAGCGGTTTTCGAGGATACCACTAATAGACCACCGGGGCAACCGAGTAGGATGAGTTTGTTTGTTCTCATTTGTGACGGCAATCACGCTCGCCCTCCCTCACATTGGGCGATGCGTGCCCCCACGCGTTGTTGGCAGGCGATGGACCGGTACTTTATGACCGTGCCGGACAAGTGGACGGGCTTCGCGATGAGCAGCTCGGTGCCCAACTTCGGCGGCGTAGATCTCGACCAACCCCGTTGAGACGGCCGGGTCTCAGTCCGATTTTTGACCAAAGATAATTCCAATGGCTCGACGGCAACGGTCTCGTTCGTATGTAGGTAGACGGCCGTTCCAGTTTTGCTCCTCGTTCCCTCTCATCTCAAGCGCGGTAAGCTTCGTATCTCATCTCGGTGGAGGTTACGGTACTCCCCGGTCTTCCATCGTTACCGACAAGCTGTGCTTTCCCGTGCTGAACACGTTGGGTTTGGCCACACACCCGATGAAAAATGTGGTGTGTGGATGTGGATATGTTCTCCCCGAGCTCACCAAATATGGTTTCTGTTGTTGCGTCCCCCTTGAATGTACGAGGCTGGTCGAAACGGTCTGCAGGCCGTGGTAGTTTCTATCATGGTGCGTGTAGTTCGTGTGTGCTGGAAGGGTGTCTGCGCGGCTTTTGGGGGTGGGGTATCAAGCCCACCGCGCGCTTATCCGGCCCCTAGGTTCGTTTCCATCCCGACTTACTTGTGTATTGTCGATGCCCTGTGCGTGCCGTACTGTTTGAGTCGGAGCGGAATGCCGCGAGTACTGCTCGTGTTTGCTTGCGCCTGTTGATGGAGTTGCTGTGAAAACACAAGAGCACTTTTATGTACTCTGCCTGGCATTGTTTTTGAGGGCGATGGCGTTGGTTTGATACAGATATGACCAGAGAGACGGGTGCTAACATGACACGCTAGAGGCTACGGCGACAGCCGCCCGCACCGTTATCGATAACGCTTGTTCAGGGCATCAAATGGTGCATTCGGTGCCACTATAGCTGCCACAATCTGTAGACTGGGGCCAGGCAACGATGTTTCCGCCCGCTCAGTAGTTCGCCATTACCACTGCTGATAGGTCTCCACCGTCCTCCTCTTACACAACAAATCAGCTTACCTTGAATGTCGTTGTTGTTTTGGTAGAGCCAACCCCTGGCGAAAGAGATCATTGACGCTAGACCGAAACCACACGCGAACGTCACCGTCTTCGTTTTGACTGGGTGGGGTCGTAGGCGGCGAAGAACGGCAAGGCAAAGACAGGTGACTGAAAATGGGGGGGGAAAATGAGACCGTGCACAGCTTCGTGTCTGCAATGTAGTCGAATCAAAGTCATTCGCCCTTTCGGCCTGTCGCGCGAGAGAACCCAAGACCCAACCGAAGAATGTGTAAGTCGGCGTGTCTTCGTGCCCTGGAGTGGATGAGTTTTTATTTCAGTGTCACCTGGGGGAATATGTGACAGCTCGAGAACGACTACCCTCTACACTCACTCCCTTGAGAGAGCAAGATTGGGACAGGTTTTGTGTCGTTTACACCAACCTCTCGCTGTATCTGACCATGTACCCACTTGGGATGTTCGAAGCGATTTGGACTGACTCTTCATGGGTGCCGTACCTCTCGGCGAATCATTGTCGTTGCCGTGATGGTTCACTAGAGTTTATGGTAGTGTCGGATGGCCGTATGCTTCGGGCTGAGACGTAGTTGCGAGCCTCTATCGTTTGCAACAGGTGGGTATTGTCAAGGTGCAAGAGTGGATCGGGTTGGATCATAGCTTTGGCCCCGAAGGAAGGCATCAGTCTGCTGCCGTAGCGTCGTAGCGACGGAGGTATCCGCACCATGCTCTTGGTACATGTGATACATGGAAAGTACGTAGAAAGTGAAAAGTCGGAGTTTAATTTCGTTGCCTGCACTAGCTGGGAACCACGAGTGCTCGAGGTTAATATCTCCAGCAACTGGAGCCAAAGTTGTGCCCGGATTAGCCAATAGCTTTGGAATACTTGGCGCGGGATGGAGTCCAACACCTCGACATTATTTCGGAGAGGGTGACGAGCGACTTGTGACGTTTTCCGGGTAACCTACACAATCATTTGACAAATGAAATACGCTTCCATGGAAGTCGAAATCGACTTCCACAGAATTCACTGCTTCCATGGAAGGAGGTGGTTACCCCTTCATGGAAGTCACCGTCACTTCCATGGAAGTCAATATCGACTTCATGGCTTTCATGGAAGTTTGAAGGTGTTGAGTAGCTTCGTGTGTTGGTGCCTTGGCGCGCGGGGTCCCGTGGTTGGGAAATAAAAGAGCAAGCGGCGTGGTAGCCGCCAACGGTACAGTGTAGGAACTATGATGGGCGTGATAGCCCGGGTATGGTATCTCTGGATGTGACGTGGAAGCCTGGTGGCGTGATAGTCGTGGTGTAAAGGTATACTTATGCAAGGACGTGGAAGTCCAGAAGGCGAGGTAGCCGGGTGTCGTGATAGCCGGGATTGGCGTGGAAGCCGTGGCGTGTAGCCGTGGTAGCGTGATAGCCGTTGAAAAGGACTTGATTGTACACAGGAAGAGGAAAAATAAGAAGAAGTATGAGAAGGAAGTGAGGAGCCACAAAACACAATCACCATATCCGTTGTAGACACACACATACCCCCACCCTCAATCCTGTAATATGCGTATCATCAAATCTAATCCATAGCAACTGCCCCCAAACTCCCCGCTCCATCTGCTCGGAAATTTCTTGCTTGCAATAATCTGTCGATGCTGTGAGTACGTCCAACAGAAGGCTTCCATCGAAGTCAATTTTGACGTCCATGGAATCCGTTGGATTGTTTCGGGTTCCAACTTCCATGATGCTTCCATGCAAGCGGAAACAACTTCCTGGAAGTAAATCCGCTTCCATGGAAGTTGATCCGCTTCCATGGAAGCACCCAATATCAACCCGCTCGTTGCTTCCATGCTAGTCGCATTTCGGACTTCCACGAAAGCGCGACGAGCTTTCACGGAAAAATTACTGCCATGGAAGCTCGTCGCTCGACAGGGTCTCTGCTACCTCCATGGAAGCACGAAAACTTCCATGAAACCAACTCCCATGGAAGTGGGTGACAGAGGTCGAAACCGACTTCCGTGGAAGCAACGAAACTTCCGTGAAATCAACTTCCACGGAAGCGCCTGCGTCTGGGCATGTGGTCATTTATCTTCCCTACCCCAACCGAACCGTAACCCTACCCCTAACCCAAACCAACACCTCGGAAGCGTCTGGACATGTGGTCCTTCCAGCTTCCGCACCGTAACCCTAACCCCGAGAAGACCGTGGAAGCTGTTCCGAGCCTGAATACTTCCATTGGAGCTGCCCTATACCTACATTGAAATCGCTTCCATGGAAGCCTATGGTTCGACTTCCATGGAAGCTATTCCACTTCCTCCATGGGGTTCCCATGGGAAGTCCGTGGAGACAACCATATACTTCACTATCGTAATTCGTGCCCATGGGTACCCACGGGCAATGCCCATGGGTGCCCACGGCCCACGGGGGGCCATGATGGCTTTCACCACCACGGGGATCACAACGGGTACCAAGATTAAGCGTACTCTGACTTCGATTGGGCGGGGTCGACGAAGGCGCGGCCGCAGCGAGCTGGTACACCCAAGGTTCCGTCGGAGGCTCACACCACGGTTAGTGAGTCCAGCATTCCAGCTCGGCGCAAGGGCGCAAGAATGTAAAGACAGGAAAGTATCGAATGGCATGTTGTATGACGAAGAAGCGAGAGGACCACTCGTGAGCGAGACTGAATAAAAACAACTGGCTTGGTGTGGGCGTGCAGCAACGTCCGTCGACAGCAGGTGCTCCGCTCTCACTCGAGCATAGGAACAATTCTGTCACGGCAGTGGAGTGTGTATTCTCAATGGTTTCTCGTACAACTCGAGCCACCACAATCTTCTGTTCCCATACTAACAGTTAGAAATGTGTGACGACACGACGACTATCCTGTGAGTGTATATACTACATGATAGATGTTTCCTCGCTATGAGCGGGAGATAGAGTCGGCAAAACGTATGACAATAACCATCACGGCCACCAGCGAACACTCGAGATGTTACCATCCCATCCTACCAACGCTTCGTAACGTATCCATCCAAGCCCATGGAAACATCCAGCAGTTACCGTACTATCTCAGCAAGAAAGATTGGCAAATACCATCCCATCCCGTCAGCATGAAGCGCAATCCCTCTCCCATCCTATCTCATGGCATTCACATCCCAACTCTTCGCATCCCATTCCATCAAAGCTGATGGTAAGCCCAACACATTTCCCCCCTGCGGGGGGCTTTTCTTACCATTCCTATCCCGCGGGGCGACTGCGTCGCCATGTATCGCCCTGACTTTTTGAGGTCACGACAAACAGGTAGCAAGGCTTGTGCTCGACGGCTTTGTGTGGTTTCAGGCTGGCTCATATTATGTGACCATGTCTCACACGTCCATGAGAGGTTCATGTTCCATCTGTCGGCGGTGTGGCTATTAAGTGAGTTAGTAATCGCGGGGAAGACTACGTAGCATGATCCACCCTAACCCGGCAACATAGCCCAGCATACTCAACCTACTTTGAAGGGTCGCACTTCCTCGACATGCCCGGCAAATACTCGCCTCTATCCATGACCTCGTTCAGAGTATACCCCTCTGCCCTGTTAGACCCCATGTTATGGCCTATTCTCTTCTACGTGGCAACGAGACCGTAGTCCACCACTATTTGTAACGCGCTTTTCGCTTCCTCCACGATGAGGTATCCATGCTACGGTTGCCTGCGTTACCGGCTTCGGTTGTGGTTTCGAGAACGAAAAATACTGGTGTTGACATTCGGAAGATTGCACAGCAAAGCTGTTCCCATCCAAATGACGGCCTTTGTCCTTCATATCCCGGCCTAGCTTACCATCTCCCTCTCTAACCCTCCTTTTGCAGCTGCTCCCCAGGGTAGGGGCGAGCACATCCTGAGCATTGCCGTCGGACAACTCCGGGAGTCCAACACGTCGTGGTTCATCAACACTCGCAGCTGGCACTCGTGTCGAGGACGTTGTGCGAAGTCGCCAGTGTGTTCCCGGTTGCGAAAGCCACAGTAACCCACAGAGGAATGCTGAATCCTCTCCTCAGGAGTACTCTAGTCGACGAGATTTACCAGGGGCCGGCATACGATAGAGAATTGGTAGAGTTGCTAACCAAGTTGAAGCCAGCGACTGCGGTTGCGATTACTTGGTTGGCATCTAGTCTATGTCCGCCCCGGCTTTTAACGAGTTCCACGACAACATGCACGTCGTTAGGGAGCTCTCGATTTCCGCGGACATCTGGTCCGCTCACGGGCAAGCACATATTCGCATGTTGTCGCCGAGTCACTTGCGTGTATTTCGGGCCAAGGATTGTTTCGATCCGCGCATGGACGGAGTAGTGTGGCCGGCCACCGTTGAGGTGATGTCGTTCGGAGCCGGCTGCGAGAGCCGCTTCAACCAGCCACTCGAACGTATCATTTGGCCTGCTAATTTGAAACAACTTTCGCTAGAAAGCACGTTCAACAGGTCCATCGAAGGTGTGACTTTCGTAGATTCCATCGAGGACATTCGTCTAGGAGGATGCTTCAACCAGCCAATTGCCGCAGTCCGGTGGCCCAGTAGCTTGCAACGTTTGGCGTTTGGTACGTGCTTTGACCAGCCGTTGACCGGCTATCATTGGCCGGAGGCATTGATCGCTCTGACGACCGGTGATGGGTTCGAACAGAACCAATAAGATAAAATTAGACCATCTGATCAGTCAACGTTGACTGATCAGATGGTCTAATTTTGACTGATCAGATGGTCTAATTTTATCTTGTAAGTGTTTCCTACCAAGGTTGTGGCATGGGGAGATTTTGCCAGGGTTGCCGCATGGGGCGATTCTCGCCGTTTGTGTATGCCGGGACCAAACACACCAATCGTATTTGGCGGCGGTGGCTGGTGAACTTCATTTTGGAACAGTGCTACTTGTCAGGATTGTCGCATCGGGCGATTCAGACACATTTGTTCATGCCGGAACCAAGCACATAAATCGTGTTTGGCGACTGTGGTTGGTAGCTTATTGTTTCTGAACATGGATATCTACCAGGGTCGTTGCATTGGTCGATTCACGCAGATCAGTTTATGCCGGGACCAAACACATGACTCGTGTCTAGGGGCCGTGGTCGGTGAGCTTGACCGGAACAGTGCTACGTACGAGAATTGTCGCAGATTGACGCAGACTTGTGTATGCCGGCACCGGACGCATCAATCGTGTTTGACGGTCCAGGTCGGTGCTTCGTATTGACCAGTGCTAACTAGCAGGGGTTCCGCAGTGGGCGACTCAAGCAGATATATTTCTGCCGGGATCGTGATTGGCGACCGTGGTTGGTAGGCTTGTTGTTTTCGCAGCAGTACATACCAGAGTGTCGCATCGTGCGGTCTACGCAGCCCATTCTTTTGCGGGGACCACAAATACCACTTGTGCTTGGCGGTCATGAAGTTTGCGGCATATCACAGATGTCGCTTTGCACGGTTCACGCAGCCATGAATGCATCACGAGGAATAAAATCTTAGTAGGCGACAGAACTATACACGTCTACAATGTTTTGCAGATGGGGTGGGAGCGTTAGGTTTTCGAAGCGATGCCAACTGCGATGGTCGCGCTTTGACGATTCACGCAGTCTTACCATCCATTCATATTGTGCTCGGACAGTGTCTACCGGAACAAGACACATCAATCGTGGCTGGCGGTGGTGCGGTAGTTGTTGCAACGATGTTGCCTACCGAGGCCGTCGCATTCGCGTGATTCCTGCAGACATGTCGATCAGAACTTGGTTGCCAGTATCCGCTTAGACCACCCAATCTAACGTGTCCCAGTCATATCATGGTGATTTCTGCGAGTGGTGATGGAGCTCCGGTTGCAACACGCTGTCTAATGCGGCCAGCGCAT